CCAGAGGTGCGAAGGTGCCTCCCCGCCAGGTGCAGAGAGGTGTCAAACCCACAGAGCCGGGAAGGTCTGGGCAGGGGGGCCTGGGAAAGCGGCCCATTGCGGAGGTGTGGATTCTGACTCCTCGGGGGCTCTAATGGAGGCCCCTGCAGCCCGGGAAGTGTGGGAGGGACAATTCGCATCTGGATGGAGCTGCTAAGCTTCTCGCCGGGCTCCCACCCCACCCCGCCCCCGTCCCCGTCCCGTCCACCGCGCTGCGCAGGCTGAGTGCCCAGGAGCCCGGCAGCGGTGGGCAGTGCCCTCGCCTCTGTCTCCCGGCGCCCAAGCTGCCTCTCCAAGGACCCAGGGACCCCTGCGCCTCTCTCCCCACCAGCTCCGGGGTGGGGTGGGGAGCGCGCTGTGCCCAGGAACTTACACCCAGTGCCTGCAAGGGTGCCCAGGACCAGCCCCGAGGGACCTGCCAGCAGCGATGGGGCGGGGGACGATGGGGTGGGGGACGTGCAGGGGGACCCCTTCCCGGGTTCTCTGGAACCTGCACTTGCCGATTTGCTGAGCGACACCGAGAAAGGCCTCTCGCTGCCCACCGCTCGTTTCTGTTCCAGAAAAACCCCAGAGGAGCCCTAGTCGGTTTGGCTCAGTGGATAGAGAGTCGGCCTGGGGACTGAAGGGTCCCGGGTTCGATTCCTGGTCAAGGGCACATGCCCGGGTTGTGGGCTCGGTCCCTGGTGGGGGGCGTGCAGGAGGCAGCCGATCCATGATTCTCTCTCATCATTGATGTTTCTATCTCTCTCTCTCCTTCTCCCTTCCTCTTTGAAATCGATTTTAAAAAAAGAAAAGAAAAACAACAGGAGCCTGGAGAAGGAGAATGAATGGGGTGCAGTGGGCCTCCCAGCCCTGCCCAGTCAGACCCTCTTTATTTTATTTTATTTTATTTTTTAAAAATATATTTTATTGATTTTCCAGAGAGGAAGGGAGAGGGATAGAGAGTTAGAAACATCAATGAAAGAGAAACATCGACCAGCTGCCTCCTGAACACCCGCTACTGGGGATGTGCCCGCAACCAAGGTACCTGCCCTTGACCGGAATCGAACCTGGGACCCTTCAGTCCAGGGTTAGGGCCAGTCAGACCCTCTCTATTTGCTGTGTGACTTTGGACAAATGACTTCACTCCCCAGAGGCTCAAGTTTCCTCATTCTCAGCAATAACACATCCCAGCCCGGACGGTTGCCGGGACGAAGTGGAACCATCCACAGAACCACTCAGCGTGCACTTGGCACTGGGGCTAAGTGTTTGGTGCTATCGTTTTATAAAGAAGGTGCTTACATTTCAAAATGCTCATGGGCATTATTTACTTAATTCCTATTTATTTAGCAACTGGTAAAGGTCAGGCACGCCAGGGTGAACGAGCTGGGAGTGTTCTCTGCCCACATGAGAGTTTATTTATTTATTTTTAAATATATTTTATTGATTTTTTACAGGGAGGAAGGGAGAGAGATAGAGAGTTAGAAACATCGATGAGAGAGAAACATCGATCAGCTGCCTCCTGCACACTCCCTACTGGGGATGTGCCCGAAACCAAGGTACATGCCCTCGACCGGAATCGAACCCGGGACACTTCAGTCTGCAGGCCGACGCTCTATCCACTGAGCCAAACCGGTTTCGACAAGAGTTTTTTTTTTTTTTAATATTTTTTTATTGATTTCAGAGAGAGAGAGAGATAGAAACATCAATGATGAGGAAATCATTGATCAGCTGCCTCCTGCACGCCCCCCATTGGGGATCGAGCCCGTAACCCTGGCATGTGCCCTTGACCAGAATTGAACCCGGGACCCTTCAGTCTTCAGGTTGATGCTCTACCCACTGAGCCATACTAGCTAAGGCCCCTCATGAGATTTTAGTTTTGTGGGAGAGGCTATTATATAATTAGTAGGCCCACCACTGCGCTAGCTGTGTGGCCTTTGGCAAAGCCCTTAACATGTCTGAGCCTTCTACTCTATAAAACAGGAATAATAATTATCTATCTACTCACAGCACTGTTACAGTCTCATAATATAAACTGGAACACAGTAAAATTTATAAAGGAAAACCTTTTACTCCTCAGCAATAATTACAGTTTAAAGGAGGTGTCCTTTGTGATTTTTTTTAAACAAAGAATATCTTTTTTTTTTTTTTTAAATATATTTTATTGATTTTTTACAGAGAGGAAGGGAGAGAGATAGAGAGTTAGAAACATCAATGAGAGAGAAACATCAATCAGCTGCCTCCTGCACATCTCCTACTGGGGATGTGCCCGCAACTCAGGTACATGCCCTTGACCGGAATCGAACCCGGGACCCTTCAGTCCGCAGGCTGACGCTCTATCCACTGAGCCAAACCGGTTTTGGCAACAAAGAATATCTTTTAAAATATATATATATTTTATTGTTTTTTACAGAGAGGAAGGGAGAGGGATAGAGAGTTAGAAACATCGATGAGAGAGAGACATCGATCAGCTGCCTCCTGCACACTCCCCACTGGGGATGTGCCTGCAACCAAGGTACATGCCCTTGACCGGAATCGAACCTGGGACCCTTCAGTCCACAGGCCGACGCTCTAGCCACTGAGCCAAACTGGTCAGGGCTCCTTTGTGATTTTTAAAAAATATCTACTTTTATTGATTTTAGAGAGGAAGTGAAAGAGAGAGATAGAAACATCAATGATGAGGGAGAGTCATTGATCATCTGCCTCCTGCACGCCCCACACTGGGGATGGAGACTGCAACCCAGGCATGTGCCCTGACCTAGAATCGAACCGTGACCTCCTGGTTCATAGGTTGATGTTCAACCACTGAGCCACACCGGCTTGGCGTCCTTTGTGATCTTTTTGAAAAAGGGCTGACTTGGAGGCTAAGGGCCTCCTGAGGGCCAGAGACTAGCACTCTGGTCACAGAGGTGGAGGGGTCACAGCTGGGCCTTGACCGATGCCTGGTTACTAGGGCAGGGAGAGAGGCAGACAGGGCATTGTGGATGTGGGAACAGCATGAGCACAGGCCTGGCAGTGGGACTTCCTAGGTGCTCCCTGGGAGTCAGGAGTAGATTAACCCGTAGCAGCCTGAAGAAGTAAATGGCTTACACTAGCCGGTTTGGCTCAGTGGATAGAGCGTTGGCCTGTGGACTGAAGGGTCCCGGGTTCATTTCCGGTCAAGGGCACACGCCCGGGTTGTGGGCTCGATCCCCAGTAGGGGGCGTGCAGGAGGCAGCCGATCAATGATTCTTTCTCATCATTGATGTTTCTATCTTTCCCTTCTTCTCTGAAATCAAAAACATTTTTTTTCATTTTTTTAATATATTTTGATTTTTTACAGAAAGGAAGGGAGAGGGATAGAGAGCTAGAAACATCGATGAGAAAGAAACATCGACCAGCTGCCTCCTGCACACCCCCTACTGGGGATGTGCCTGCAACCAAGGTACATGCCCTTGACCGGAATCGAACCTGGGACCCATCAGTCCGCAGGCCGACGCTCTATCCATCGAGCCAAACCGGTTTTGGCTAAAAACATATTTTAAAAGAAAAAAAGTAAATGGCTTTCTAGTATTTTGTGGATGCTTTTAAAAAATTAACTTTTAGTTACACAAATTACATAATAAATACATTCTCTTTGTAAGAAATGGGAACGAGAGATAGAGCTGGAGCCCCTGTAACCCCCTCTTGCCCCGAATGGGAACAGCTATTGGTAAAGGGTCGTCAGGTGTCCTTCCAGACCTGGTCCATGCATTCACATCAGTCAACATATGTCCTTAGAAGTCACACATAGTATAAAGTCAGTAACATGGCCCATTGCATATGCCAGCCTATAACTTGTTCTTTCTTCATTCGGCAGCGTATATTAGAGCATTCCATGTGAGGACATATGGAGCTCACTCGCAGTTGGTCATAGTTGATTTCAATGTTCATCCATTTCCATCATAGAAGATAATTTTTTAAAATATATATATATATTTTTTTATTGATTTCAGAGAGGAAGGGAGAGGGAAAGAGATATAGAAACATCAATGATAGCCCTGGCCGGTTTGGCTCAGTGGATAGAGCGTCAGCCTGTGGACTGACGGGTCCCAGGTTCGATTCCGGTCAAGGGCACATGCCTGGGTTGTGGGCTCGATCCCCAATGTGGGGTGTGCAGGAGGCAGCCGGGTCCATGATTCTCTCTCATCATTGATGTTTCTCTCTCTCTCTCCCTCTCCCTCTCTCCCTCTCCCTCTCTTCTCCTCTCTGAAATCAATAAAAATATATTTTTTTAAAAAAGAAAGAAACATCAATGATAAAAGAGAAATGGGGGGGATGAGGGCACATTTGTAATACCTTAACTAATAAAGAATTTAAAAAAATGATAAAAGAGAATCATTGATCGGCTGCCTCCTGCACACCCCACACTGGGGATGGAGCCCACAACTGGGTCATGTGCCCTAACCGGAATCGAACCATGACCTCCTGGTTCATAGGTCAACCCTCAACCACTGAGCCACGCCGGTTGGGCCTCCTCAGAACTTATTTTAAAATATGTTGAAGAAAAGATGCTCATGTTAGCACTGT